GGGCACCGGAGGTGTCCTCGCCGGGGGCGGGCGCGGAGGCCGGGAAGGCCCTGGAGGGCTGCCCGGACGTTGGCGCCCTTCCCGGCAGGGGGACCTGTGGCTTTCTGAACGGGAGTGATGGTGGCTGGACCTGGGTCGGGGGGGAGCTTGGGAGAGGAGAGGGTCTTGGGGACCCCAGGTATTATAGGAGGAAAGCGAAGAGGTGGGCGTGAGAAGGAAGGGAAAGGTGTGGGGGGCTCGGGGTGCGGGACCCGGTGTGAAGGAAGGCAAGTCCTCTGGGTTTTCTTTCTGACCACCTCCCCCTCCCCCTTTTCCAAAACCCCCTATGAGCCGGAAACTTCCCCGCCTCCAGGAAACGCCAAGCCAACCCGGCGGCAGCCTCCGTATGACGTCACGGGTTGCCAGGCAGACTGCCACGCCGCTCCCGCGTCAGCGGCACCGCGCCAGGCCCCGCCAGCCAGAGGGCTGTATCCAGAGAGAGGAGCTGGGAGATTCAGAGAGGGAGGACAGAAATCTGGAAAAGGGGGACAGAGACCCAGAGGGGTAGACACAGAGATGAGTGTGAAACAGAGACCCAGAGAGAGAAGGAAGCGGGGAGAGAGCCGAGAACTCTAGTCATCAAGCGACAAAAACTGAAGCGAACCGGTGCCTGTAGCTCAAGCCTTCCAGCTCAGCCTGGTCTGGCTCTAACTGCCGCATCCATCACCTCTCTCTTCTCCCCCCGCACTGTCCCAGTGTCCCCGAGGGCCGACAGGCCCCAGTAGACCGGCAGCATTGCAGTCCCTGACACAGGGTCCTAGGAGGTCAGTCTACCTTGATTTGCTTTATTTTATTTTATTCCATACTCAGGGCAATGATGATAGTTTTTGCAAAAAGGACCTCATTTGCAAAAGGAGGCCTTGGGGAGGACATTTTGTCCCCCACAAGCCCCACCCGCCTGGGCCCCCTCCCCGAGGCGGGGGTGGAGGCGTCCTTCTCTTGAGGGCAGGTCCCAGTCTGGGCTCTGCTCCCAGACATTGTGCTCCCCTGGAAGGCTCTTCCCTCCCTGTGTCCGTGAGTCCGTGATGTTTCTTGCTTGTCCTCCTGGCGGTCAGTGCGGGGGGGAGGAGGAATTTCTGGAGACGGATCAAAAGCCTGTCCACAGGGCCGCAAGGGACCTTCTCCATCTTCCTCCTCTCCCTTTTCATAGAAAGGACACCTGGGGCCCAGCAGCAGCAAGTCTTTGACCCTCGATCCGTCAGCCGCCCGGGCTCAAGGGCCTGGGACTCAGGCCTCAGCTGCGGCCTCTCATACCCTGGGGGATCCAACCAGAGCACTCACAGTTCATTCAGCCTTCACCTCTGGCTGGGTCACACCAGGGCTCGAAATGTGAGGTTGGGGGCCCAGGGAACTGAGAGAAGCCACCGGAATATGACAGCCAGGGGCGGTGGGGTCCGAGAGGGATTGGAGCACAGAGGCCCCATTGGGAGGGTCTAAGAAGCCTGCCCGCTGTGACTGCATCGTGTCAAGTTTTAAGTAAAGGATTTTGTAAAATCTCCTTCTATTGAAATGTCAGCTAATTTGGATCCCCCCTTCAAAACAAACAAACAAACAAACAAAACAGCAGTGAACCCGCGGAAACCCACTGGAGGCACCTGATCTACCCCACAAAGGGTGGCAGGTCACCAGATGGAGATTTCTAGTTAGTAATGACATGGGAAGAGGGGCCAGCAAGATCACCCACAAATCTTCCGAGTGGCCAGGATGATCCCCAGCGTGGCCCTGTGGAGGGCACCCCGAAATGGAGAAAGTCCCATGACACCTCAGGGCTGATGCTGCGGTACCCAAAGGCACCCATCAGGTGGAAATTCTGGGCTGGCCAACATGCGATTGGAGGATCCCAGACAGACAAGGGGACCCCAGAGGCGGCCCAGAGCTGACAAGGTTCACTGAGGTCCCCCCAGATCTGACAAGAGTGTCTTCAGACATGACCAAAGGATCCCAGAGCTGTCTTAGCTGTGATTGGAGAAGTCCAGACACAAAAAAAGTGATGGCAAGGTAGCTCCAGAGCACCAGGGGATCTCGAAGGTGATCAAGAGATTTGGGGGGACAGATAGGACAAGAGTCGCAGCTGGGCACAGAGCTCTGAGACATGATAAAGGGGACCCAGAGGCCCCAGATATAACTAGAAGATTTCAGAGCTGACAGGAGGAACCCAGAGATAAGCAGGGATCCCAGAGAGACCCTGGACAGGGCTTAGGGGTGCTGGCAGCACCCCCCTCCTTGTGTGAGACCTGTGGGCTCACCCTCCCCCGGGGGAGATTGGGGGATCATACACACAAGAGGTCTCAGAGAGGTCCCCGGCCTGGATGGGAGACCTCAGACATCACAAGGGGACCCCAGAGAAGCTCTTGGGGTTCTGGAAGCACTGACCCACCCCCTCCAGAGACAGACACACGGTACAGTCGTCTATGGGTCCTGTGACCCAGGCCACGCAGATCCTGGGGATCCCGGACATGACAAGGGAATCCCAGAGGGGCCCTGGGCAGGGCTTAGGGATTATGGCATTCCCCCCGGCCCCCCAGTGTGGGGAGTCCACTGGTCCTATGACCTAGGGTGTGGGGACGCCAATGTGACACCGGCGTGGAGACCCCGTTGGGCTCAGGCCCGGCGGGCGGCGGGCAGCAGCGCACTGTCAAACTGGTAGGTGAGCTTGCGCTTGACCTTGCGGATCTCGCCGGTCTTGGCGTAGTTGCGCAGGGCGCGCGCCAGCTTCTGGTAGGTCATGCGCTTGCGGTTGCCCTTCTGCTGGCCCCAGCGGCGCGCCAGGAGCTCCTTGTGCTTGGAGGAGAACTGGAAGACCCCGGCGCCTGGCTCCACCCACCACACGCACTCACGCATGTCGCCGCGAGTCAGCAGCCCCAGCAAGAACTGGTACAGGCGCAGCTTCTTGCGGGCCCCTGTGGCGGGTGGGAGGCGTCAGGGGAGGAGTCCTGCCGGGCGCCGCCCCCCACGCCCATCCCGCGGCAGCCCGCCCCGCCCCCGCCGAGCCTCGGTCTCCCCATCGAGCGAACTGGGGTGAAGGAGGTGGCCGTTACATGCACCTGCCTGGTTCTGTCTGTGCCCCGCCCCCATCCGAGGCAAGGCCCTCCCCCTCCCTGAAGCTGTCTTCCCAGGACCCCCTGGCCGACCCCTCCTTCCTTTCTCACGATTTGCATCTATCCTGTGCTCTGCTTGGCAGGGGACCACATACCAGACAAAACCCCACCTCTGCCATTTCCAGCTTAGAAACGTGACCTTGGGGTGGCAACTGAACCCCTCTGCGCTGGGCTACGAATGAGGCTAATGTGTGTGTGTGTGTGTGTGTTACTTTTACGAACTTCGTGCCGGGCGCGTTATGATGATGAGCTCATTTCGTCTTCATCATAACCCCACGAGCTGGGGGTGATGGTGATGACGTCCGTTTTACAGGTGGGAAACTGAGGCCGGAAGAGAGGAAGCTGCCAATGGCCCCAGCCTCTCAGGGGCTGTGCCTAACGGACGCTGGGCACAGAGGCTGGGAAGCAAGGGTTGACTATGTGGGAGCTCACGCCTTAATTGTATCTGTTGCTACCGTATCGGGAAGGACGGCGGAGATGCGCTGATTGTCATGTGGCTCTCGCTACCCGCCTTCTCCCGCTTGATCCTCCCAGCCACCAGAATCAGACACTTCCTGTCATCCCCGCTGTGCGCATGGGAAACCAAGGCACAGACAGGCAGGCGGAGGCCTGAGCCCACGGTCCCACAGCCAGCAGGGACCGTGGCCGAAGTGCCCTCGGCGCTGGAGCGCACTGCAGGTGCTTGAGAAACCGTGGTCCTTCCGCCCCCCTCCCATCTCCAGTTGGAGACCCCGTCCCGCCTCCGGCCCCGCCCCACTCGCTCCCACGTACCTGCCTCGGATCCCCTCCCCTCGGGGCTGGCCACTAGGGCCTCATCTGACTCGCTGTCCGAGACCTCCAGGGCGGGGCTGTCCAGCAGCAGGTCCCCCTCTTCAGACAGCATGGGGCTGGGGTACGGGGCGCAGGCCGAGGGGCCCAGGGTCTGCGGGAGGTCAGGGTCACCTGCAGTCTCGGGGTCCCCTTTTCTCCCTCCCTCTGCCCTTGGCCCTTGGCTTCCACATCCTGGCCCCGAGTGGCCCTCCGGGCTTGGTTTACGGCCTGCACCCTGGCCTCAGTTCTGATCTCCATGGTGTGGCTGGGGCAAACCCGGCCGCCCGCATGAGAGCCCACCCCATGCAGATGACCTGGGCCGCCCCCAGCTCCGTACGTGCAGCCCCCCGCTCAGCCGTGCCTCTGTCGGCCGGTCAATGCCATGGGGCAGTAATGGTACCCAACCTCGGAGGTTTGCCAGAGCGACGAAGGGGCTAACGCACACACAGGTTCTAAAGCAGTGCCTGACACCAGCACACCTCGATCAAATGATGAAGATTTTGATGGTCTCTCTGCCCCTCACCTGGCCAGTGAAGTCCTCCGTGGGGTACGCCGGGAAGCCAGGCCCTGGGGCCTCTAGGCTGGGGGTGGGGTCGAGGCTCCCCGCAGAGCTGTAGGTTGAGGGTCCATAACAGAGCTGGACACCCTGGGGGTGGCCAAAGGTGGCCACGGCTGGATCGAAGGCTTCGTAGGAGGTGGCAGGGACCAATGGGGCCTCGGTCCAGCCCCACAGGGAGTCTGGGGAAAGGGCACTGAGTCAGAAGCCAGGAGGTCTGGCCACGCCTCCCCCCCCCCGCACTGGGAGCCCCCCGGCACAGTGGGGCCATTGTGGGCCGTGCAAATCTCTGACCCCAGGATTTGCATGGGTGGGAGAGGAAAAGGAGGAGGCTGGAGGCCTGGGCTAATCTCGTCCTGCTGTGTGAGGGGACAGTGTCCCCTGGGCCTCAGCTCCCCTTCCTGTGAAAGGGTCCAAGGAGCAGGTGGGGAGGGGGCTGGGCCAGGGTCACTCACCTGGAGCCCCCTCTGAGTCAGGGTAGCTGGGGTGCTTGCAGCTGTCCAGATCGTAAAAAATTCCATCTGGGTACTGATGGGGGGCAGAAAGAGGGGTCATCGAGGCTGCAGAGAGCCCCCCACCCAGAATAGTAGGGAGACTCCACAATGGATGGGGGGTGGGTGGCAAGAGGCTGGGAGAGGAAGAGAGAGACACAGGATCTCGAGGAGAAACACAGACAGGGCGAGGGGGCAGAGACAGAGAGCAGGCACTAGAGACAGCGGCGGAGAGGTACAGAGAGAGGACACAGACACACACGAAGGCCCAGAGGGCGACCCCGGCGGGAGACACAGAAGCCAGTTCCCTCCAAGACTGTGGGCTCCCGGGACCCCCAGCATGCCCCTGCCCCTGTGCACAGTCGCGCCTGGGGGGTGCAGAAGAATTTCCCTGGTCCACCCGAGGGCAGGAGGCGGAGGACGAGAGGATGGACATACTCTCCCAGAGGCAAAGTCTCAACGTTTCCTTTATCCAGCCCTGTTCGGCTTCGTGTCTCACCAGCAAAGTCTCGCAAAGACGAAAGCTGGGTATGTACCATCCCGCTGGCCCGACAGAACCGAACACGTCGGTCCACAGAAAGCCTCTTCGAGAATAATCGGAGCCGCTTTACAAATATCCCCAAAGGGGGAGCGGCCCCCGTGCCCGTGGACGGGAGAATGGACACAGTGCGGTGAGGTCCCGCGGTAGAGTATTATGCAGCAAGGACAAAGAACCGGCACCTGACACCTGGTGTTCGCGAAGGAAGCCGGACCCAAGGGGGGACACCTTGTGTGATTCGCTTAATGGAAAGTTCGAAACTGGGCCAAACTAACGCACGGTGGGAAATGTCAGAGCGGGTGTCGCCGGGGAGGCGCACGGAGGGCGGGGGGGCGCTATTCCAGAGCGACAGGATGTCCTCGGCCTTTGTCTCATTAACGGCCACACAGGTGTGTGCATGATTGATAAGACCCTCGTTCAGCCGCACGCGGATGCGTGTCACTTTACCCACCCGTGAGTGACACCTCGATTTTTTAGGAAAAGCAAAACTCGTCCCGTTGGAGGAGGGCGGGGATGAGCTGAGGGAGGGGTGGCCGAAGCGAGTGCTCTTCGAGGCCATGAGTGAGGTGTCGTTCCTGACTGCGCCGTGGGTGTCCGGTGTAGTGTGCCGTGCGTCTGCTGTATTACAGGTTAAAAACTTGAACATGGGAAAAAAGGCAGAGAGAAGGAAAAGGCGTGAAGAGATTTGCGGAGACAAGAAAAAGCGACAGGAAGTCGAGGGCACGAAGGCCTCCCCGCTCCGGGAAAGCGGGGCCCAGAGCCTGGGCCTGCGGGAGCTGGTGGCGGACACTGGGCTGGAGGTGGGGAGGTCCCAGTAGGCCACGCGGGCGCTCCCACCCCTGTCTGGTGCCCGGGGCCCCCACTCACCAGGCAGCTGAAGTGCGGCCCCTCGAGCCTGGAGGGAGAGAGACGCAGGGGCATGTCAGGCCGCCGCGAGCCGGCGGGGGGAAGGGGGCCGCAGCTGTGACCACCGCAGCCCATCTGCTGCGTGTTCGTGTGTGAGACCAGCCCCGCCACACGCGCCCCCACTCCCCCATGGGACAGGAAGTGGGAGGCGGGGGCCAGGCAAATGTTCCCCCTCCCCTGGGATTTGCATAGTCAGAGGCTTGGGGGGGTGGGCAGGGAAAGTGAGGGAGAGAAAGTCCCCAGAGAGATGTGGGAGCCAGCGGGCCAGTGGGGGCAGGGAGGGGGCCTCCGTTAGCCGGCGGGGTCCAATGGGTCCACCTTGGACCAATGGAGAGAGAGGGACAGACTCAGCAAGGGGGGGCGAAGAGAGCAGGAAAGGGAAAAAGGTTGGGGAGACTCTCACGCACGGATGCGGGAAGCGTTACCGAGCCCCAGAGGCAGAGATGGGGGACAGGAGAGGTGACAGGTGGAGGGAGAACTGGAAAGAGGCTGAGACAGACACAGAGACAGGAGCAAGACACAAGGCAGAAAGACCCAGAAACAGAGACGATGAGGCAGGAAGTGGAGAGCAGCAGTGAGCGGGACCGAGGGGAGCCAGGGAGCGACACCCATGGAAGTCCCCACCGCCCAGAGACTTCAGCAGGGCCGGAGGCCAGTGTCCCACAAAAAGGCTTCTGGGGTCAGGGGGTGATAGGGAGGGGATGGAGGAAAGAACCGAAGGTGGGAAGGGAAGAGAGGGAGACTCAGAAATGGCAGGAGCCAGCACAGACCCCCGCGGAGCCGAGCCCCCCAGCCCCCCAGAGGGGTGCACAGCCGGCCCGGGGCGCAGGTTTAGGGGCCTCACTCACTGTGTGGCCTCCAAGGCGAGCATGGTGCTGTTGGCTGGGTTCACTGCTGCAGGCTGCAGCCGCCACCCTTAGCCACCCCTATTTATACCTTGGCCCAGCCCCCTGGGGGGCAGGGGTGCCAGCAGCTCGGCCCTCCTCGAAATTCCCCTCAGGGAGGGGGTCATGGGAGGGGGCTGGATTGCACAACCTCTTGGTCACATGGTGGAGAGGGCGGGTCCAGGAGCTGTCTGGATTTGGGGATCCCCATGGTTGGGAGTGGGGGGTGACCCTGAGGGGTGGAGATGGCATAGATTTGGCGGGGCCCACGGTTCGTGGGTCAGTGAAGTGGGGGTCGTAAACTCGAGGGTCCCTGAGGAAAACCCAGGCCCAAAGCAGATGGAGACCCCACAGCGGAAACATCGTGGGTGTGTGATGAGGGCGGGGTGTCCCCTGGTGGTGCCGGGACCGCGAGGCTCTGTGTGGGGGCTGCCCCCGGCCTGGAGGGAATAGGCCGGCACCTGGCGAGCCAGCTGGCCCTCGGGGCGGGTGGGCTGGGCAGAGCTGTGCCCACATCCACTCAGGGCCCCGGGGGACACTGAGGCAGGCCTGGCGGCGTACGCTGGTAGCAGAGGCAGGAGCCCAGGTATCTGTGTGGCGGGCAGGGGGTCCGGCGGGGGCCTCTTGGGGGTCAAGGGGTCCCAGTGGAGAAAACCTGCCCTGGCCAGCACCTGACAGTGGACCTTGTCTCCCCAAAACCACAAAGCACCAGGTAACAAAAAGAGAGATCTTTATTCATTCTCTGCTGGTCCCATCCGTCAAAGCCCTCCCCTGGGAAGCCCGCGAGGTCAGAGGTCACCAGGCCTCGGGGCCAGGGGGCCCGAAGCGTCTCAGCAGCTGCTCCTGGTCCTGCAGGTCCTTGCGTACCTTCTTGCGCATGTAGAAGATGGGGCAGTCCCGGCTGCGGGCGGGGTCAGGGTCAGGGCTGGCTGCCCGGGCTGCACCTGAGGCCCGCGCCCAGAACTTTGACCCTGGCCGGCTGCCCGGCCCCCCTCCCGGGGCGGCTGTTTGCTCAGCGGGCATGGGGGGAGCCGATAACAGTGGGTGCCCGCTGAAGCCCGGGGCCACCGGCCGTAGATCACCTGTCACCTGGCTCACCTGGCGTGGGAATCCAGCCCGCCCACCTGTTCCCTGGGGAAAGCCCAGCCCCACCCTGCGGGAGGGGGTCAGGGCTGGGGGGCCATTCCCCAGGCAGGCACTGGGCACCCCGCCCTGTTCCACTCAGCAGCCCCGGGTCCTGACCCCCGGGGGGGCTGGGGTGTGCCTGGGCCCGTTCACAGGCCACAGCGGGGGCCGGTGAGACCCCAGGGCCAGATAAGGGGGGTGTGGGGGGCAGGGCGCGGCCTGAGACCTGGTGCAGATGACGTCCTCGTGCAGGCTGCCCTGGCAGCGCTGGCACTGTGTCCACAGGCGTGAGAAGCGCTCCTCCAGGGCACTCAGGTGGGACACCTGGGGACGGCGGGGTCAGCGGAGGT